TAATCACTTGGCTAATGTCTTAATACAGAAATTTGGAAAACACAATTTTTCCAGAAAGTTTTCTCCTATTTCTCAATTTATGACATGAGGTATAGTAGGTTTTTATTAACACAAGATAAAAATTTCTTAGATTCCAAAAATATTTGATTTTTTTTTAATTTTTAATTTTTAAATTTATCTTTTTTTTTATTTTTGTTTAATTTTTTTTATTTTCAAAAATACACTGTGCGACAAAATTCATATTTTTCAATAATTACTTAATATTTCTGCAGACTATGGAAATAAAGCTAAGACAAGTTAAAAAGTATCAAGCAGTTTTTCCGACAAGTGTACACCCTCAGCCAATGTTCGATTATTTAAAAAATATTTTGACTTCTTTTATGATTTTTCAAATTTTGGACGCCCTATGGTGTAGATTCCGACGAAATGGGCCAATATTGTCCATTTCGTATCGGAACTTAATAAATATGATATAATTATTGCGACGTGCTAGGTATGGGCTATACTGGTTACTTCCTTTACTTTATTTGAGATATGTAATAATTTTTAGAAATTGTAAAAATGTGCCTGAGTTACCAGACCAGACCGAAGTATTCCATTTTTATGAAGTATGAGATTAATACAGATAAAACTATTGGTATTGGCAAAATTAAAAAAAAAAATCGAACACTTATATCCAATTTTATGGGAAATCATATATTTTATATTCATCTCAGGTTTCTGGTTGAGAGGAACATTTAGATAAGCAAGGAATCGCTGACTTGTTTCACAAGTTATGAAGGATAAAAGTTCTGAAAATTGTGAGGTTCCAGAAGGGGTTCGAAGATATACATCATCTTCATAACAGATCTTGGTGTAAGTAAATATGTGTGAAATTTTGAAGACACTCGGATACTTTTTTCGCTTTCTTTGAGCGTTTTAGCTTTTACAAAATCTTACACCCATGTGGGGGAGGTACAAGAACGATTGGATCGATATACAGGGAGATATAAAAAAACTGCAACAAAGTTAAATACCATAATTTTTATTTTTTTTTTAATTTGATTGAATGAAAACAAAAAATTTCGGAAATAGCATCAAATTTTGAAATAAGTTTAGATTTGTTTCGAATTGGTCACCTTTGACACGAATTATGGCCTTCCAACGGCCAATCAAACGTCGTACGCTGCCCGATGTTGCTCTGCGGTATTTTGGCCCATTCCCGGCGAAGCGCTTGCTTGAGGTGATCGACACATTGGTATTTTTTAGTGCCAACCTTGCTTTCCAAAATACTCCAGACACAATAGTCCAACGAATTGGTATCCAGAAATTTTGGTGGTCATTGTGCGCTGGAAATGAAGCGAGGAACCTCATTTTGTAACCATTCTTGAGTGGCACGTGCTGGGTGCGATGTTGCTGAGGTCTGTTGAAATATCCAAAATGTTTGCCTGCCCAATGCTTTAATACACCCTCCACAATATTTTCGCGATAATATTCGGCATTTATTCTGATGCCATTAATACGAACGGAGAGCGACCATCGGCTGTTATGGCGGCCCACACCATCACCATGGCCAGGGCTTGAGTTCTGCTGGTCAAACAAAGGTGCACATTTTCAGCTGACTTCTTTGGCAAGTAAACACGATCATTTTGTTTGTTTACAAACTGCTGGACAACGAATGTTTTCTCATCGGAGAAAACAAAATTCGACAGTTCACAACTTATTCTGCTGATGATGCTGAATTCCATCACGAATAACTTTTTTCTGGAAAATTCTCACTAAAATAATTTTGTACGCTTGTAAACAATAAAATGAGCTGTCACTGGTATAATTTTAACAGCTGTCGGACGAGTGGCTTAGAAATGACAGCAGTCTGAATTTGGTTGCAGTTTTTTTCATATCACCCTGTATATCATCTTCACAAAAGATTTTGTATAAGGAAATATGTGTGGGGAGGTACCGGAACTGTTGGACCGATATACCCCCTTTCGTGTTGGTAGAAATGGTGGGATGTGTAAAATATGAAGAGAACCGGATGCTTATTTCGGATTTTACCCTCGCTTTGGGTATTCAAAACTATGACTTTTCGTGGAGGAGGCACCAGATAAAATGGTCCGATCTCTACCATCTTTAAAACATATCTGGTTTTAATGGAAATATTGAGAGTACCAAATGTCTCAATGGAATCGGATGTTAATTTTTCGATTTTTGAGCTTTATGGTTATTTAAAAATTTGACCCTTTGTGGGGGAGGTACCACAAGGAGTGGACCGGTATGACCCATCTTCGTAGCAAATCTTGTTCTAGTGAAAATAATGGGATGTGTGTAATTTGAAAACTCTAACATTCGAAAAAGGCCGAGGAAAAATTGATCGAAATAAGGGCTATATTTTTTGAAAATCGATTTTTTATTAACCTAAATTAATGGTGTTTTTATGATTCTTACAAAGTATACATATTTCTTTACTTCGGAAACTCACAATGAAATTTGATCCAGAATAATCCTTGCTTTGACACTTTCACAAAAAAATACCAAAAACAAAATTGTATGGAAACATAATTTTCACTAGAAGTACATAAATGTCGAATTTAATTTTCTTGAAAACTTTTATACCTAGATATACGGTTAGTTTTGAGATTTTTAGTATAATGTTGTGTAGAATATTTCTTCCTGAGAATAGGAAATTGTATGTTACTTTCGGCAACATTGATGCAGATATATTTTTCATAATGGAAATAGAGATTTATTTTCTTTGGTAACTTATAGTGAAATTTGATAAAGAACCTTTTTGTCTTTGGCGTCATCCTTCGAAGATGATGTTTAGTAGGAATATTTGTTAGGAACTCACTTAAAGAACGGCGTCAATCCTAAAATGTATTTTTAATATGTATGTATTTTTGGTGTTTTGGTAAGATTTAGGCATTTGATGTATTCCGGAACTTAGAGTAGAATTTTTTGACTATGAGATATGATCGCTTTAAAAAGGCCCTTTTTACCATATCTTAGATCTTCAGGGAAATATTTGTTTGTAAAAATAACAATTTGGTCCTTTCGAGTCACGGGAGAAATGTTTCATTGCTTTGTATTTCCTAGTTTTTCCAATTTCAAGTCTTCCTTGAATTCCAAATCTTCCCCCTTGCCTTCACTCCCAATAGTTTGCCGTTCAAGCTTTCCAAAACATAATTGAATCCCCCGAAGATGAAATCATCCATTTTTATTGTATTACGCGTTCGTTATGTTCGGTTGTCTTGCGAAATGGAAAAACGAATAAGGCGGACGTATGTTTGTGGCCAAACAATTTGCCATGTTTTATCATGCACATACACAACCACACACACACACACACAAAATGTATGGCGAATGCCAACGAAATGAATCCTTGCGGATGCATTTATGGTCCGAAGAAGATGATACAACAAAACGGCAAAAACGGAAAATAGAAAAACGAAGGCGTGCAGAAAAAAATGCCAAGACAGGTAAATATTGGAGGAGCAGCCAGCAGCAACAACAATCTCGCATTGTTATCTCAGCGCTGTCAACGATTTTCGTTTGTTGATGGTGTTGTTGTTGTTGTTGTTGCCGTTGTCATCTCTTTTGCAATTCTAATCAATTTTTATTATTGCTTCAACGGAAAGAACAACATTTCACGAAAAGTTAAAGCCACGAGGAAGTTCTATCATTTTCATCGTTCCAACTATCATCCCCTTTCATTCCTTGTGAGATTTGGTCGTTTGTCTCTATGTCTCCAAGCTTTTCTCTGTACGTTTGTGTGTTTTTAGCAAGTTTTGAGATTTTTACATAAACACATCACGTACAATTTTTGTTTTTTCTCTCTCACTGACACTTTTGTATCTCTATGCCTTGGCATGAGCTGCGTTGTTCGTTGTCACCACACTCAAGAAAGGACTTGGGATCCTTTATCACAGTTCAAAGCTGCTTAGCTGGATGGTTGTCTGCCTGTTCGTCCGTCCTTTTCTGTTCTAGTGTTTATTTATTTTCAAGCTTCAATTCCTGGCGCCATCATGTCTGTGCGTAAAACGGGAATCACACGCTTGGGTAATATGTTCTTCATGCGTTCATTTTGTCATACCTTGAATTCTAAGTGTGTATGTGAGTACAAGTGTGCGTGTGTAGGTTGGAATGTTTACTTTCTGCTAACACCCGATGGCTGGTACGTGGTTTCTCTGTCAAGTTCACCTTAAAGTTTAACAGTTTGACACCATTTTCCGGCTGCGGAGGCGTTTGGAAAATCAACACACGCAATGGGGAATAACTTAACTTCCGTTTTCCATTAAATTGTTTTCCGATCAAGGGACATGATTTTTCGTATGTCTTATTCATTGCTCTCGCCTGCCCCCCACTACTGGATTCTATGGCAGACAAGATACCTTACCAGCATGCCGCCTTTAAATCAATATTGAGGTGTGATTGATTTGTTTCCTATTCCTGTTGTGCCACATCAACATGGCGCCATGCTGTGATTATGGAATTTCTTATGAAGCCACTCTCGACTCGTCTCCTGGAGTAGGAGGCATGTCTCAAATTTTCAAGATTTTTTTTTTTGGCCGAATCAAAAAATCGAAACTTTGGCAAAGACAAAGAAAACTTTGCTCCGGGTTTTTTGTTTGATTTGAACGAAAGAAGGAACAGGACCCTTATAATCCTTAAATAACTTTTTTCTTGACTTGACCGCACAAAACAAATAAAAGTTTTTTTTTTTCGCTGCTGCTGTTTTCCAGTGCTAATATCTACATTGTTCTACTGAGGATGGTGTGGGAAACCTCGCCTTTAAAAAATCTAGGAAATGATGAAATCACTTGGAAAAGTAGATTAAGCTTTTAAGTAAACATTACAACGAAATGATTTTTTTTTCATTGAAGCTGCCAAAAACATGAAATGCTGCTCAATGTTTTCCTCCAAAAACAAAACAAAAGCGAAAGAAAAATCTAATCCTTTTTTCTACATTTTTTTTATGAAAATTTAAATTTATGTTTTTCCTTTTTTGCTTGTTCTCTTTCCAGGGTGCTTTGGTACCATGTGAATACCGCATACAGTCCCCGGCCTCCGGTTCTCCATTGCCCTTGTGCGGCGCTGCCAATGCAAATAGTGCCACCAATGCCGATAGTACAGCTGTTGCTGTCTTACAGAACAATACCAACGCTGTGAATTCATTAACGGGCGGCAATGCCAATTCAGCCGGTGGCCCGAATACAGTCTTGCGCGTCATTGTCGAATCTCAATTGTATCCAGTCTCGTTGGATATTTTACATCAGATATTCCAGCGTTTCGGCAAGGTTTTGAAAATTGTCACCTTTACGAAGAACAATACATTCCAGGTAAGTGAAAAAAAATTTGTTTTTAAGAAAAATTTCGAAGAATATATATTATAGAGGGTGAGATAAAAAAAACTGCAACAAAGCCAAACGCCATATTTTTTATTTTTTTTAATTTTATTTAAAAATGTGGGAAATAGCATCAAATTTTAAAATAAGTTTGGATTTGTTCGCATTGGTCATCTTTGGCACGAATTGTGACCTCCAAACGGCCAATGAAACCGTCACACGCTGCCTGAATGTTGCTCTGCGGTCTTTTGGCCCATTCCCAGCGAAGCGCTTGCTTGAGGTGATCGACACTTTGGTATTTTTAGTGTCCAACGTGCTTTCCAAAATACTGCAGACACAATAGTCCAACAGTTTGGTATCCGGAGATTTTGTAACCATTCTTGGGTGGCGCTTGCTGAGTGCGATGGTGCTGACTCCTGTTTAGATTTGACACGAATTATGGCCTTCAAACGGCCAATGAAACCGTCACACGTTGCCCGAATGTTGCAATGCGACACTTTGTTATTTTTTAGTGCCAACTTTGCTTTCCAAAATACTCCAGGCACAATAGATCAACGGATTGGTATCCAGCGATGATGCTGAGTCCTATTGGAATGTCCAAGGTCTGCGGGCAAATGTTTGCTTGCCCAATGCACCCTCCAGAATATTTTCGCCACAGTCAATTAATACGAGCGGAGAGCGACCATCGGCGGCCATCACCATGGCCGGCGCTTGAGTTCTGGTGGCCAACCGAAGGTGAACATTGTTCACAAACTGCTGGACAACGAATGTTTTCTCATCGGAGAAAACCAAATTCGGCAGTTCAGCACTTTCGGCCAAGCGAAGCAACTATTTAGCTCTTTTGAGTCTATTTTCTTTCTGCTGCGGTGTAAGTTCTTGCACTTTTTGGAATTTCAATGGTTTTTCAATAATTGCCGAATGGAATATTGCGATATGTTTAGCTCACGAGCCATTTTTCGTTCACTGCGACTCGGGTTTCAATCAAGTCGCTTCTTTACTTTTCGAACCATTTCTGCTGATGTTGCTGTTTTCTTCCGCCCACTTCCTTGACGTCGGGCTACGCTACCAGTATCACTGTAAGGAGCGAGGGTGCGAGACACATAAAATTTAGTCACATTTAAATGCTGGAGTGCTCTAACGATAGCCACTTGCCAGCCAAATATAAAAAATATAAATTCCATCACGAATAACTTTTTTTCTGGAAAATGCTCACCAAAATTCTACTTTACGTTTGTTAGCAATATAAAAAGATATCACTGGAATAATTTTAACAGCTGTCGGACAAGTGGCTTAGTAATGACAGCAGTCTGAAGTTTGTTGCAGTTATTTCATCTCACCCTGTATATAACTGGTTAAGAACCTAGGTCTCTATGGACCGAATCCCTTTTAGTCGAACTAGAGGTGCCCGCCCGTCCGTCCGTCTGGCTGATACACATGAAAACTCTCGAAGAGAGAGTACCCAATTTCGTCCAAACTTGATCGATTTCAAAGATAGACAAAATCGGACAAAATAATTATAAATCTTATAAAATGTGAAATAAGAGTCCGATTGTTCCTAAACTACGGACATTTCAACATTTCTACCGACGCAGGATCTGATATTAAGAATATATAGAACGGACCATTCCTTTTTTTGCCTCCCCCATAACAGGTAAAACTCTTGAATAGCCATGAAGTTTATAAAACGCGAAATGAGCATTCGATTACTATCAAACTCGGCATATCCTAACATTCTATAAATGAAGATAAGATGCGAAGATGGAATATATCGTACCGCTCCTTCTGGTACCTCCTCTGAAGGGGTCAACATTTTGAATGATAAAAACTCTGATGAAATGCAAAATAAGTATTCGTTTATAATCGGCACATCCCATTATTTCTTCCAACACAAGATCAGAAGTGAAGATGGTAGATATCGCTTAACTGCTTCTGGGTCAACATTTTGAATTATTATAAATTTCATAAATTGCACAATAAGTACCCGGGTCTCATCAAATGTTACAAATCTCAATATTTCTACTAACTCAAGATTTAATGTAAAGATGGAATATATTGGACCACTTCCTCTAGTAACTCCTATACAACGGATCAAAATTTTGAATGATATTGTTTTATAAATATTCCTGTTAACCAGACTGCCTATGTGAATATGGAATTGATCGGCCTACTCCTTCTTTCTATAAGCATTTGATAAAGGGGAATACTTCGGCCCACATTTTCAAAATTTTCCGAAAATTATCCCATATTCCACATAATGTGAGGGAAGTAGTCGATATAGTCCAAATTTGGCACCTTGTAATATCCATACATTTAAATAAACTGACATTGGCTGAGGATATACATCTGTCGCAAAACGGACTGATACTTTTTTTTTTTTTTTTTTGATTTTCTAATTTATATGAATTTTCCATCAACATTTCATCATGAAAATGTCCAAAAAATACTTTCTATATTTATATTTATTTTTTAATAAATTCCTCACTCGTTCACTTTACATTTTCTTCCTTTATTCTTTGTTTTCTAGGCCCTCATACAATATCCGGATGCCCATTCGGCCCAGCACGCCAAAACCATATTGGACGGGCAGAATATCTACAATGGCTGTTGTACGCTGCGCATTGACAACAGTAAAATGACAACGCTCAATGTCAAATACAATAATGATAAGTCACGTGATTTTACAAATCCCTCATTGCCACCGGGCGAACCGGGCGCCGACATTATGCCCACCGCTGGCGGTCTAGTGAATGCAAGTGATTTGCTATTGATTGCGGCCCGTCAACGGCCCTCTCTAACAGGTGATAAAATAGGTAACACTTAAACTTTCCTTTTCATTTTTTCCGTTTGGGTTTTTTTATGTTTTGAATCTAATTCTACATATTTCGTTTTCTTAAGCTTGCTTTAAAATAAGAAATAAATAATTAAATTCAATTGTTTTTTTGTTATTTTGCCAACATAACCATTTTGAATATTTATTTACTAACCCCCCCAACTAGAACATAACATGACATGTGCATCTTGTTAAAAAAAAAAAAAATATCAATACATTTTGGATGCTAACAAAACAATAGATTGTAATAATAAATCATTTAGCAATGTTAATTAAAATATATTTTTTTTTATATTAAAATTTACATTCTTAATAAATTTAATTTTCTTTTTTTTTTATTTCTACTTTTCTATTCTAAAAAAAATGTAAACAGTGAATGGTCTTGGTGCACCCGGAGTGTTGCCACCATTTGCATTGGGCATCGGCACACCATTGGCCGGTGGCTACAGCAGCGGCATACCAAATCTAGGCGCCTTTGCCCTGGCCAACAGTGGCGCCCTCCAGACAGCTGCTCCTGCATTGCGTGGTTTCTCGAATGTCTTGCTTGTTTCAAATCTAAATGAGGAGGTTAGTACAAAACTAATTTTTAAATATAAATTATTTTTCAATTTTTAAAGTAATGTCGTATTTTTAGATACAAATCCTCGTAATAATAAATAATAGTGATCTTTTTAGTATATTTTTAACAAAATAAAATGAAGTATTTTTTTATTGTTATGAATTAATTAAAAATATTATTAGCTATAGAGTATAAACAACTCATAAACTTTTAAAAATTACAAACTATATGTAAAAAATAAAAAAATATTTAACATACAAAACAATAAAATATCCTATAAATTTGTTGCAACTTTCAATTATACACAAAAAATATATATAATTTTTAATTTAACTTCATATAGCGACGTGTGTATGCATTTCATTTTTGTTTTTTCTCACATTTCTAATTGAATTTAATTTCATCATTCCATTTTTTTCGTTTGTTTTTTTTTTTTTTTTTTTTTTGTTTTGCTTTGGCCAAACTATATACCATCAATCGAACATTTCATATTTCATGCTATATTTATTTCTCACTTTTTCTCTGAGTTTCACAATGTCAATTTATTCATGTTTTTTTTTGTGATTTTTTAATAAACGAAAAATAAATTTGCCTGCTCCCTGCAATTAACATTGCACACATTGAGGCAAACTTTGTGCCGCGAAAAAGGTGTTTAATTACAAAAATTAGTTTTCAATCAAATTTCCTAGATCAATTCAATTATTGCTGTAAAATATGAATATTGCGTTGTTGGGTATAAGTAATGGCAACACTCATACGCTCCAAGTATATGGAGGTATTTTTGTCGAGATGGCAAATTTTAAGAAGACGGTATTGTTTCTTTTAAAATATGATACAAGTATTTGCAACAGTCATACGCCCCGCATATTTTATACGTTGGTGTCATTTCTCCTACGCCCTTAAGAAAATCTCACTGAGTATAAAAACAGCTTTCCAATAAAAAGTTTCAAAAAATTACTGATAGTCTTAAAAAATCATTTAAAATTCATAATTATATGTTTGGATGTAGTTAAAAAATATTGTTAAATATTTTTTTTTTTTTTTTTTTTTTTTTTTTTTTTGTTGAAGACCACTATTAAAAATCCACTAATGAGCACTGAAACACATATCTCCGTTATTAAATGTGTATAGTTCTTTCAAAATATTCTTGGAAATTCGGGATTTCAACTTTGATAATTCTTTGAAATATTCTAAAAAAAAAATAAGCCCACGATTGGGACCTTAAAATTCCACAAGGGCTTTGACAACCTCGATAATACTTCAAAATACATTACAAAACTTGCTACTTTTTACTTCAACATTTTAATAGTCAATAAAAATATATATTTTTTAAATAAAGGATTTAGGCTTTGATCCTTATGAATAAAAAAAAAGGCACGCAAGAGCGTTAATAATCTGGACAGTCCTTCAAGTAAATATTTACTAAACACGCGGTATGGTTTGTTAAAATATCCTAGAAAAATTTCTTTGGCAGTCCTCCAAAAAATATTCTAAAGAAATTTAAAAAGTCTTCAAATAATAGTTTCAAAAATTCGCCACTATTGCTCTCCATCAAAATCTCTATAAAAATCCTCGGTAACTTTTAAACATACTTCCATATATTAAATAAATAGAAAGAAATAACAGAACAGCTAAGTTCGGCCGGACCGAACTATTAATACCCTCCACCATTTGGAAAGAACTTGAAAAATTTCATAATTAATAATTACGAAAAATACAATTATAACTTTATGCGGAGGCTACGAAGACTTGAACCTGCATAAGTAATTTTTTTGTCATAGTCTGTAGTACCCATTAAGATAACTACGAGATTTGAAGCAATTCCGGCGAATAATGTCACTAAAATCAGCAAAATACCAAATAAAAATAAAAAAAATTTTAAGCATAGGCTGTAGTACCCATTACAAACTTCGAATACGAAATTTAAAACAATTCGGGAGAATTGAGTCGCAAAATCATCAAAATACCTAAAATCGGAAGCTACCGTTATATGGGGGCTATACAAAGACGTGGACCTGCATACGAAATTCTAAAGCATAGGTTGTAGAACTCTCTTTGAATAATCTCTAAAACGAAGCATTTCAAAAATTAAATTTAAACGTCCGATGGAGTTGTCCCTATAAAAAATGTCCTCTGTAATTTTTAGCTCCTACGGAAAAAATACGCAGGATGACACAAAAATTTATTCTGGATATACGAAATATATCCACTACTACCTATGAGTAGTGTCATTACTTCTACGCTCTTCTAAAATACCTCTAAAAATGTGTTATCATTCGTTAATAAATTCTGGATTATTTCTCTGATAATCCCCATAATTTTCCTTCTAAAAATGCCTCTGAAATATTCAACACATGCATAAAAAATGACCATATCAAGACATAACAATGTCACCATTCTGTGTATGTGTTATGTCGTTACTTATACGTCCTTAAAAAATATACTTTAATATCCACGAATATAGCTCCCCGAAAAATGTTATTTCTAATCCACGATAATTTTTTATAGTCCTCCAAATAAAATATATCCCAAAAATTAAAAATTAATTTCAGACCAAAGAGAGAAAATTTCTCAGACCAAGGACAACACCATCCTTCGCATGAGAAGTTTCATTACTTATTCATCCTTAAAAATAATATTTTTAAAACTTCACCTTTGACATCAATTATGCATTCTAGGATTATTTATATGATAGAAAAAAATATTCTTAAAAAAATTGGGACTATATCTCTGAAAATATCCTTAGAAATCCTCGATGTTTAAACGCTGATACCGTGCTGCGTATAGGTAATGTCATTACTTGTACACCCTTCAAACAACATTTTTAAAAATCGGCAACTGAGGTTTCTTTAAACGTTTACTTAAAACTCCAAGATCTTTGTAGAGTTATTTTATATATTTTTATAACAAAAAAACTAAAACTTCATAATTTAAAACTTTTATTATTTAACGAAAAAACCCCCTTCAAAAACATTTTCTTAAAAATCCACAACTGGCTTTATTTGAAAATTTTTATTTCTCTGATAGTAATATATACTTAAAACTTTACGATTGAGATTTTTAACATATCCTAAATTATTCCTATGAAAACTATTCAAAAAAAAAAGAACTTTGAATATGCAAGATTCCCTCGAAAAAATCTAAAAGTCCATGATTGAGCTTTTTTAAATATCCTAAATTATTTCTGTGATATTTCTTCAAAAAAAAAAACCTTAGAATATCCAAGATTCCTTAAAAAATGTTTAAAGTCCTTAAAAAAATCCCCATAAAAATATCTTGTCTTTCACAAAGAAAATTAACATGAAATTAAATTGCAATGACACCATGCTGCGTATGAGTGTCGTCATTACTTATACGCACAAGTAATGGTTTACAATTTGAGCATGTAAATGAATTGATCTTGGGAAAATTACTTGACACATCTTGTTTATGGTTAAGTCTTTGTGTTGCGGGTATTCGTTTATCTCTTATGGGCAGTCATTTGTTAATATCATTGGCCATTTTTTGCCATATGACTTAACATACATTTATTTTATGAGTAAGAGATTTTTTTGTTCTATGAAAACACACTGAGGTACAGTGAGTCAATTTCAACAATTTTCATTTTCCCCTATATTTTCCAAACTCTCTGAAATTGACTTACTTTACCTGAAAAATACCTAGAGAAAAACATAACTTTAAGAATTTTCCTCTTTTTTATATTTATATTTTGTTTTTTAATTTTTTACATCAACTCTGGCTAACTAAATCTCTATTTTTCTCTCTTTTTTCTGTAGATGGTCACGCCTGATGCTCTATTTACCCTCTTTGGTACGTCTGCACATGAAATTTATTACTTTTTTGTTGGTTTTATTTAATTTAGAAAGACCAGAAAGAAATGAAAACAAAAAAGAATAGAAACAAACCAAAACTAAAACCATAATCGATTTACTCTAAAGATACATGTAGATTTTTGATTATCATGGCTAGCATATTTTTTCATACATTTACTTTTATGGACTACTTTAAATCCTTTTTTTTTTTTCTCCTTTTTTCTTTTGAATAAGAAAACAATCCTGTGATATCATTGCTCTCATATTTTTAAGTATTTTTCTTCTTTTAGTTTTGCATACCATAAAACCAAATTATTGATATTTTATTAATTTCCTTAAATATCCTTTTGTATAGAGAACTTAAAAAAAATTATAACTGCAAAGCAAGAAATGGAAAGAATTATATTCTAGTTATTCCAGTGAAAAGAAGACACAAAAAAATACATTTCATTTACTTAGTTTTAAGCTGCTTAAAATATAAACCATTCTTAAAAGCGAGCAACAAAAAAAGAACTATAAAATATTTTTCAAAATCCTCTTTCTGCCAAAATGAAGCGATTAATATTTAAAAAATATTATTGCTCCATAAAATTTGCACTTGAACAACTTTGTCGGATAGCTGAGCTGTGCCATGCAAGGCAAGACAAATAAGAGAATGCAAACATTGGAAAAACCGTACTCCAAAAGACAAAAAAAACAACTGCGGAAAACAAAGACCAGCAAAAAAAAAAATGAACAACAAAGTACATTCGCCTTTACAATATCGAAATCAATTCCAGTGTTAAATAAATTATTTAAACAGCATCGTGGGGAAAAACAATCAACTAAGAGTGTAAAACATATTGTGAACACAATTCGTTTTTTTGTTGTTTCCTGTTTCTTCTCCTTGTTGCTTTTGCATATTCCATAAACAATTGTTATTTTTGTTGGTGTGATGATAAGCATTTAAATTAAATACTTTAGTAGTTTGCTCTCAATGTTTTCGTGTGTTGTTTTTTTTTTCTCTTTTTCATTTCTCGTTTATAAATTGATGGCCATTAAAAGTTGAAAATGAATGATATTTTCTTTTTAAAAAGAAGAAAAAGAAATAAAAGAGAGATTTTGCTTATTTTTTAGAACTTTACAGATTTTTTAAAACAAAAAACAATACCTCAAAATTGTTATTTACCTCTTATCATTGAACAAAAAATTATCGCATTTTTTCTTACTTCCTAAGTATTTCTAAAGTGGAATGCCGTACTCTTTTTGCAAAAATCTACTGCGAATATGAGTTGTCAGCCATTAAATCTTTAATGTTCAGTCTAGTTTAAAAAAACCCTACTACATGGTATGCCATTTAAGGAAAATTGTAAATAATTTATTCGAATTTGAATTTAAGCCATTAGAAACGAATCAGATTTTATGAATTAGAGGATCATGTATTTTCTCTTTCCCTTCCCCAAAGGTCTAGATTTTTTAATGAATTTTTAGCCTTGTTTATGAACCTCGTTTACCCATAATTTTTGCTATGGGTCGTACAAGCACTAACACCACTCATACTCAAATGTACCCTTTTTCGATTCATTCCTGATCTTCCGTGTGCACTTGTTACTTACATTTTAAGATTTTCAGATTTTTTTCGGGATTGATGACAATCTTAATATCTATCCTGCCAAAATCTTAGTTGGTTATGGCAATATTAAGAATAGGCAATGACACATTACTGCGTATGTTTAAAGTCATTGCTTATACGCTACTCAAAAATATTTCTCAAAATGAAAATTGAAAATGCAGAAACCAAAAAATTTCGGAAGTAGTATCAAATTTTAGAATAAGTTTTGATTAGTCGAATTGGTCACCTTTGGCCTTCGAACGGCCAATGAAACCGTCAGACGCTGCCCAAATGTTGCCCTCTGGTATTTTGGCCCATTCGAGGCGAAGCATTGCTTGATGTGATCGGCACTTTGGTATTTTTTGGTGCCAACCTTGCTTTCCAAAATACTCCAGACACAATAGTCCAACGGATTGGTATCCGGAGATTTTGGTGGCCATTGTGAGCTGGAAATGAAGCGAGGAACCCCATTTTGTAACCATTTTTGGGTAACGCGAGCAGAGTGCGATGGTGCTGATTCCTGTTGGAATGTTCAAGGTCTGCGGCCAAAATGTTTGCCTGCCCAAGGCTTTAATACACCGTCCAGAATATTTTCGCGATAATATTCGGCAGTTGATGCCACGGTCGATTAATATGAGCGGAGAGCGACTATCGGCTTTATGGCGACCCACACCATCACCATGGCCGGCGCTTGAGTTCTGGTGGCCAACCGAAGGTGGACATTATCAGCTGACCTCTTTGGCAAGTAAACACGATCATTTTGTTTGGTTACAAACTGCTGGACAACGAATGTTTTCTCATCGGAGTAGACCTAATTCGTCAGTTCACCACTTTCGACCAAGCGAAGCAACTCTTTAGCTCTTTTGAGACTATTTGCTTTCTGTTGCGGTATAAGTTCTTGCACTTTTTGGAATTCCAATGGCTTTGCCCCGAGCTAATTTTTCAATATTTTTCGAATGGAATATTGCGATATGTTCAGCTCACGAGCCATTTTTCGGCCACTGCGACGAGGGATTCGATTAAGTCGCTTTTTTACTTTTCGAACCATTTCTGCTGATGTTGCTGTTTTCTTTCGTCCACTTCCTTGACGTCGGGCTATGCTACCAGTATCACGATATCGAGGAATGACACAATGTTGCAATGTTGTTATTCAAAGTTGAACTAAAAAAAACAACCTGAATTTTTTCTCTGTTGCTAAGCGGGCCAATTAAATTTTATTTTCTCAGAAACAATTTAAGTAATTGGGCTAACTTCAAGATGATTTTATCAAAATCAGTCCAGGAAATCAAACTCACATATTTGACATTTTTATTAATTTATAGCGACTTTCAGATAAATTTTTTCTTATGATATTATTATTTTATAGATATTTAATAATCTTCTAAATTTTGAATTTGTTCTACGAGGGTTTTGGCCATTAATATCGAATTCTGAGCATTCGGACAGAGGTGAACCGTCTTCAATAAAATCTGTAAGGTGTCACATACTCTTAATCTAATTTTAGAACCATAGGCAAGAAAGAAGACGATAAAAGTTCTCCTCTTTTCCCACTTTTCTTTGGTATAGTATAAATTGTCCATTAAAATATAGAAATACATTTATTCCCTCTTTGTGGTATAAGTAACGACATAACTCATACGTGTAGAACACAATAATACGAGAGAGTGCGAATCGTATACCTATTTGAAAATCATTGATATTGAGCAAATATAAGATAAAACAATAAGCTACTGAACATTGTTGATCCTCTCATCACATTCGAAATTCTTTCTGATAATTTCAAAACTACGAAGTCAGGAGAAAAATTATAATGAGAACATACAATATTGTGGTGCCTTAATGAGGAGGTATCGTTATGTGATGAGGGGGGCGATTGAGCAGGTCAGAATATATACTTTTTGGGGTCTCTGACGAATACTCCTCTTCTCGGAGTTAAGCTTGTGAATCATATGTACGTATAAGTATTGTCGTCATTCATACGACACGGTGCTCTCACACATCATCTTTTCATAAAAAACAAGTAAAAACAAGTAAAAAAGTTCGGCCGAGTCGATCTTTGAATAACCTCCACCATTTGGAACGAATGACCCATTTTCAATACCAAAAGGCCTGCAGACATAATAAACATTTGAGTAAAATGTTATAAACCTACTTCATTTCGTTCGGAAGCTAGGGTTTTCACAGATGGATAGACGGAGCGACATCGATAAATCGACATGGAATTTTATGCTGATCAAGAATATATATACTTTGTGGGGTTTGATAAATTTAATATACCCTCAATACTATGGAGGAGGGTATAAAAATAATATATAATAATAATAAAATAAGAAAATGCACTGCCAGGACTTAGCAATTTAGTGCTGCATGGGTTCAAATTATATTTATAATGACATAAATCATAATGATGCGAATCAGTGTTTATGTTACTCACACATCCCATATTCTCCAGTACTAGCAAATGCTCCATGGTTCGTAGTAGTTGTGATATTACTCATACGCCACAAATGTGTATCTACAATTACACCACAATCATATTGGAAACTCTCCGTATGAAATTACATAATTATTTTTTAAAATACCAAATAAGACGCAGTTTGTATGAGTATTGCCATGACTCATACGCCACGTATGCATTTGAATAATTTTAAATATAAGTTCATATCTTGTTTATGTTTTGTTCTACAATATTGTATTTAACCATTAAAAAATTAAAGGTTATCTCTCCTTAAACATTTGAAAACCTGAAAATATCTTATATCGATTGAAAACCTGAAAATACCTTACCATGGGTCGATGTTATTAATTTTCAGTAAAAACTTTTTTTTGCCAAATTACATAAAATAATGTGGCCTTTATTTTTTCCAATAATTGGTATGAGTTGTGTGTTCACTCTTTCGACACATATATATCTCCAGTTACACCACAAACAAACTGAAAACTCTCCATATGAAATTGGATAACTTATTGAAATACAAAATAAAACTACAGCTCGTATAAGTGCTGCCATAACACATACACCACATATGCATTTGCATAATTTAAAATTTCATTTGTTGTATTATTTTTGTTTTACAACATTCGATTTAACCTTTAAAAAGCTATTGAACATATTTAAAATGTTTTCTTTCCTCATTTAAAAATTCACCTTCATAAATAGTTCGTTTTTTTCCAGAATCGCATATAAAATATGCCATATAAAATTCATAGCACATTTTCAATGAACTTTTTAGCTTTTATATTGTACTCTTACGTTAAGCCATTAGTTATTAATAAAGTTTTAAAAATCCAAAAAAAAAAAAAATTGAAACAAAACAAAACTTCATGTAAACTATTTGTACATTGTATTGTTAACGAACCTGAACTCATTGTCAAAAAAAATGTGCTACAATGTTCTCCAGTTGCTT